AACATATCCCAACTTAATTTGATTTCTTAAACAAGGAAAGAGACTCTCTTGCCTTGTTTAATGTGGCCTCCCAAAATAGCATATCTCATCTAACAATATTTTTGTCCCCACCACCTTTACATTCCCATTTCTGTCTTTTTGCTCGATAAATATGGCTCTTACTATAGATATTTTTTTGGCATATTTTTTTAATTTTACTTTTAACCTAACCTAACCTATCAGCGGGTAGGTACTCTTTCACAATCCCAGTGGAGGATAGACTTACTTCAGGGATGCGATCCTGCCCTAGGCGAGCCTTGATTCTCTCTCATCTCCTGTGGAGAGAAATCATGTCCTTACCCTATTCCTACCCAATACCTACTATCCTACCAATTTCCCAAACCAACTCACCAACCCGCCTGGCAAGCGTGGTGTTTAAATGCCAAAACCCCCTCAGCATGAACAGACATTCAAGAAAACGGCCCTCAGTCCCCGACAGCTCGCTAGTTCCCGACCAAGGTAGCGGTAGGACTCATGGACAGCGGGTAGAGGGTGCGAAGAATCTCCGGGATGTAAGAGGCTACCAAGAATGACGAACGTTGCACATAATTACGTATAATGTAAGATTAGCGATATATAATGTAATTAGCGAAGTCAAAAGAATAGGTGAAGATCAGGTCAAACTAAAATCAGGAAACTTATTCCACTATAAAGGGGAAACGGAATCGACAACTGGAGGAATAGGTTTATTAGTACACAAAAAATTACAGAAAAATATACAGAGCATTGACTGTATTTCCCCAAGAGTTATGTATATAAATCTAAGACTAAATAAGAGATACAATCTACAAATAATCCAGGTATACGCCCCCACCAGCGATTACGAAGAGGAAATTGTTGAAGCCTTCTATGAGGAAATCGAAAGAGCAAAAAAGCAGGAACCAGTTCATTACAATCTGATAATGGGAGATTTTAATGGAAAACTTGGAATGAAAAAGGACGAACAAGAAGTGGCAATCAGAGATTTTGGAATCGGGGTAAGAAACGAAAGAGGCGAAATGCTTACCAACTTCCTACTGCAACACAAACTGTATGCAATGAACACCTTTTTTAAGAAGAAACAGAATAGAAAATGGACGTGGGCTAGTCCAGACGGAAGAACTAAGAGCGAATATGATTATATAATAACAGACAAAAATCAAATTATTCAAGATGTCACTGTACTCAATAAACTATCAGTAGGAAGCGACCACAGACCAGTAAGAGCTAGAGTAACGATAAATCTACACAAAGAAAGAGCAAAGATGATAAACAGTTGCAAACGCATAGTTTGGAATTCACCAAATCATCCAGAAGCATACATAAAAATATAGCCGAAACTTTACAGAGTAATAATCCCAAACCTCTAAGTATCGACGATCACAATAAATTAATAACAGACTCGGTTAGAAATGCACAACTCAAATTTTGCAAAAAAAATGACACCAAAAGTGAAAAGATTAGCAAAAATACAAAAGCTCTCATGGAAATACGACGAAACCTAAGCGAGAACGAAAAGGGAAACAAAGAAGAATATAGAAAACTAAATAAAAGAATTTCAACGGAAATTAGAAAAGATGTAAGAAGATTTAATACTAATGTAATTACTCAAACAGTAGAAGAGAACAAAGGTTTAAAGATAATGAAAAGAAAACTCACACAAAGTAAAAAAGAAATATACAAGCTGAGAGATAAAGACGGAAAGGCAACAACAGATAAACAAAACATTCTGAAAATAACCAGAGAGTTTTATAAAGACCTCTATACCAGCCAAAGACCACAAGACAATTTCCCGACACGAGTAAAGACTCTCATAAATCAGGGATCGGAAATACTTTTACCCATTACTGTGTCAGAAGTAAGAGCAGCTCTAAAGGAAATGAAGAACCATCGATCGCCTGGTGATGATGGACTCGTTATCGAGGCAATAAAAGCAGGATGAGAAATTTTATTAAAATCAGTAAGCGAACTGTTTAATAAATGCTTTCATGCGCGTACGATTCCAAAAGACTGGAACAATGCAGTAATAGTCTTGTTACACAAAAAAGGTGATATTACTAAATTAGAAAATTATAGACCCATCAGCCTCTTGACACATATGTACACACTTTTTATGAAAATCTTAACAAAGAGGCTAACACCTAAACTTGATTTCTATCAGCCCAAAGAACAGGCAGGCTTCAGGGCAGGATATGGCACAAATGACCATTTGCATACCATTCTTCTTCTTCTTCTTCTTAGTCCTTAACCTGATGCAGGTATCGTGATATCATGAAGCTGTTAGGTAATTTTTCCAATGTTCCTCCACGTTTTTCTATCTTCTGCCAATCTAGCACATTCTGACAACGGAGCGCCAATGGTAGCAACAATATGGTCCGTGTATCGTGTAGGAGATCTACCTCTACTTCTTTTGCCTTCTACTTTTCCCTGGATGGTAAGTTTTTCAAGACCATTTCTTCGAAGCACATGTCCAAAATAGCTTATTATCTGTTCTGTTATTTGTGTTTCTTAGTCTTTTCTTTATGTTTAGCTGGACCAGTATGGATTCATTTGTTCTTCGGGCCACCCATGGTATTCTCAGCATTCGTCTCCAGCAGTACATCTCAAATACATCTATGTTCTTTTTGTCTTTCTCAGTAAGGGTCCAGCATTCCGATGCATAAGTAAAAAACTGGAAAAACTAGACTTCTTACTAGTCTCATTTTTGTATCGGTAGTAATTTCATGGCTTTTCCAAATTTTTTGTTAATTTTGCCATAGCGCTTTTTGCGATTGCTGACCGCCGCTTTATTTCTTCAGTACAGCCTCCTTTGTTGGTTATTAATGAGCCCAGATTGCATACCATAAATGATCTTAATAGAAAAGTGCATCGAGTACAACATACCACTGGTTCTTGCATTTGTCGATTACGAGAAGGCTTTTGATTCTGTAGAGCTTGAAACAATACTGGAAGCCCTAAATCAAAGCCGAATAGATTACTGGTACACGACACTAATCAAAAAACATCTACGAGAACGCTACATCAAGTATACGACTAAACAAAGACACAGAAAAATTCAGCTTAGGTCGAGGAGTTAGACAAGGAGACAATGTTTCACCAAAATTGTTCACGGCAGCTCTAGAGTCAATATTTAAGAGCACTCAATGGCAAGATATGGGTATCAATATAGATAGAAGATTAAATCACCTAAGATTTGCAGATGATGTTGTATTAATTGCAAGTTATCATTATAGAAGAATGACCTCATTTTTAAAAATGTCGTGCGGACTATTGTCGTGCCGACAGAGAACTCTTAAAAATAATGAAAACACGGAAAACCTCATATTTGGGACACATATACAGAAATGAGAAATACCAGCTACTGCAGCTTCTTATAGAGAGGAAGGTAGAAGGAAAACGTAGTCCTGGTAGACGGCAGGCGTCCTGGTTGAAGAACATTCGTGAGTGGACTGGTTTGGATTCTCAATCCTTAATAAGAAAAGCCAGGGACAGAAATGATTTTGCTAAGGTTATCGCCAACCTTCATTGAAGACGGCACCCAAAGAAGAAGAAGTGCGGACTATCTCGATTCTACATTTTATCTCTTGATCTGGATTTAGTTGTTCAGTAATATTGCAACCAATTATTTATATAAAAAACTGGACACTTTTTGAATTATATAACCATCAACATATAATCGTGCATCTCGATGTGCTAAACGTCTAAACACCATGTGTTTTGTTTTTGCACAGTTTATGTTTAGGCCAAACTCTCGTTTCAGTGTATCAATGGCATTTAAAAGGCATTGTAATCCATTCATGTCATCACTTAAAATAACTGTATCGTCTGCATATCTGATTGTTTTTATCAGAATTCCATTAACTTTCACGCCCCATTCCAAATTATGCAGCGCTTCTTTAAATATTCTATCTGAATATAAATTAAATAACAGTGGGAATAGTATACAACCCTGTCTGACACCTCTTTGTATTTTACATGTTTCTGTTGATTTTCCGTTTATGCAAGCTGTCGCTGTTTGACGCCAGTATAACTTTTCTATGAATCGTATGTCTTGACTATCAACTCCTTTATCTTTTAATATTGTAATTAATTTGTGATGCTGTACTCGATCAAAGGCCTTTTCATAGTCAATAAATACAGCACAGACGTCTTTCCTTTGATCTCGACATTTCTGCAATAATACATTTAGTGCAAAGAGGGCGTCCCGAGTTCCCAGTCCATTTCTGAAGCCAAATTGAGTTTCATCCTGATCTTCTTCACATTTATCTCTGATTCTACTGTGGATGATGCGTAGAAATATTTTCAAAGTGTGGATCATAAGGCTTATAATTCTATAATTGCTACAGTTTTTCGGACGTTATTTTTTTGGTAATGTTATGAATTCGGACTTTAACCAATCTTCAGGGATATCACCAGTCGAATAAACATCATTGAAAAGTTTGACCAGTATTCCAATGTTCTCCTCATTTATAAGCTTTAACATCTCTGTCGGTATGTTATCAGGGCCAACGGCTTTCTTGTTCTTTGCTAACTTTATAGCATGCAGTATTTCTGATTTTAGTATTTCTGGTCCTTCACCTTCAACTAAAGTCTCCGGTTCTTCGGGTTTATCATCATTATACAGATTATAATGGGTCTATCATCATTATACATCATTATACAAATTAAATAAAATTATAAAATATAATTTTGATTACAATAAATCGTGGCTTAGTCCCATATAAACAAAATATTTAATGTAAAGAAAAATATAAAAATAACATTTACCGCAAATACTCTAGTGATATAGTGGAACATAACTGACAGAATGTGAAAATCTGAAAATAGCTGATATATAGATAATATACCTAATAGTAATTACACGAAATTTCAATCAACTAATTGAAACAGGTATTAACAATAGCTTTCAAACATTTTTCGATTTTATTTTATAATATAAATTTATAGATCTTTAATTATTAATTTATTTGTTTATTTTTCAGGTGGAATTAGTTAAACAAACAGAAGAAGGTGATGTCAGTAATTATCAGGCTAATGGAGAGTTCGATCTCATTAGTTTTTCTTCGGTAAAACATGTTGAATACTATTCATGCTGTCCAGAACCATATCCAGATATAACATATACAATAAAATTAAGAAGAAGACCTTTATTTTACGTTTTTAACTTAATATTACCATGTATTTTAATAAATGGAATTGGTGAGTATACATTGACTATTAGTACTGTTTGGGTATTACCATTATTTAAAAAAGAACTTAAGAAAGAAAGTAATATTTTTTAAACAATGATGTTACAATTTATTAAATGCGTTTACGTAAACGGGAATCTTGGTTCACGCAATATAGGTTATTCCACGAATATACGACTGTTTGGGATTATTGCGACAACGAATATTTTACTGTGCAAGTAGAAGTATGAAAGTAAATTGGTCTAATTATTATTCCAATAAAAAGCATCTACTGTTAGTATTACATCTGAACTAAAATCATTTCAGTTAATAGATGTACAAATAGACGCAAAATTTATTGTGAAATTTAATCCGAAAATAACAAAAATTTTTACGCAAACGCTCATTTTTACGAAAATGTATTCATCAGACATTTGGGTTGGATTTCGGTGAAATAAAATCTATATAATAGTTCACTTTGTTAGTTTTAAATATTTGTTTGGTTTGAGTGGATGTACTTTTAAGTTCCGAAAGTTTTTTTTGTAACGGGTATAATATACCGGCTATTGTTAGTTAAAGTACCGAGTCGTTACAGATATTAAAAAGTAACGAAAATTTACATACAGTTTCATATATCGCCGACTGATTTTAGTTTTAAAAACCGTCCGTATAGAGGTTTCCGGTGAAGAGAGGTGTCCGTTAAGATAGAGTTTAGTGTAGTGTATTTGTTTATTGAAGCCAAAAATGCCGAGATGCGTTTTAGATGTAGACAAATTTATAATTAATGTACTTTCTTATTTTACTGCTGAGAAAACCAACGGGGGCCCTTTGCGACCTGTTCAGTCCGTACATAAACGTGTGTGATGCACTATATTAGTGAAACAAAACTAAAGTCGGTTTTGCAAAAAAAAAAAAAAAGTGGACAAAGTGAACAAAATGTCGCACAATATAAATCTCGCCGACAACCAAAGACTATAGATCTTCCCGCAGGTTGCAAATTTGAAATCCGTGAGACAATATATAAAATGCGCGAAAAGAAAGAACATGTTTGGCTTTAAGTTCAAAAAGGAAGACAATAGAAATGCTTTGTGAGAAAGAGCTAGTGTCGTTCACAAAAGAATAGAATATTTAAGAAATTACAACAAATTTAAAGAAGAATGTTCTTCCTTCGTTTATTTAGACGAAACATGGATTTTTGCTAAAGGCGGTGTCAAACAAATGTGGCAGGACGAGAGTATAAAATCCATAAAACACATCGATAACGAGGGAAAGAGATATATTATAGTACATGCAGGTGGAAAATATGGTTTTATTGAGGGAGCAGATCTTGTGTTTTTATCAAAATCAAAATCAGCCGATTATCATGACAATATGAATACGGAGATGTTTGTTAAATGGTTGAGAGAAAAACTGTTGCCAAGTTTACATGAACCATCCGTTATAGTACTGGATAATGCTGCGTATCATTCGATAAATTTTAAATAAGCAACCAACAAACACCTGGACTGTAGATAAAATAAAAGAATGGTTAACGAATAAAACTATTACATTTCCTCTATACTGTTTTAAGCCTCAATTACTAACGTTAGCTAAAAGTCGTGCACAACCAAACATATATATAGTAGACGAAATTATAAATAGCTTTGGACATTGTGTGTTAAGACTACCGCCCTATCATTGCCAATTGAATATATTTGGGGGATTTGCAAAACATATTATGATAACCATATTGGATACAAGGGTTACAGTGACGAGGCAGTCTTGGAAACATGGCAACAAGCATTGGATATTGCCACTCCTGAAATTTGGGGAAAAAGTGTAAAAAAATGTGAAGACTTAATTAAAGAATGGTGGATCCGTGAAGGTCGCATCGAAGCAGTTAATCCTATTATAATTTACCATCCAAATGAGGATAGCGACGACAGTGATTATGGCTGTGAATCTGATGGTTGATAATAGTTTTAGGAGATTAGGTGAATAAGAGAATAAGTAAGTTTTTTTGTTTTTTTTAATACTAATTGAATATTCGATTAAATAAAGTACACTATTTAATCACTTAAGTATTTAATCAATTCGTTTAAATCACTTAATTAAAACACCAACTTGTTTAAAATACTAAACTCAATAATAGTAATTATATAATTTAAATTCTGAATTACAACTATTATATAAACTATCAACTCTATATTTTTTATATCATGACTTCATATTTAAATCTAGGTTTATATCTGTCGTAACAGTATTTTAAAAATGGGGAGAATTTACTATTGTACAATGCAGCACATCGGACCATTTAAGTCGACACCTTAAAGCGAATTTAAAACAGTCGTATATTGGTGGAATGGAGTATAGCTGAAAATTGTTCTGAAGATTTTATTGTGAATCTCAGATCTTCGTTGAATGTCGGGTCATTCGGTCTAACATATATACTGTGGCGATTTTTAGTTTTTTTATTTTTCGTGATGAGCCGGACTATCGTGGCTTCCATTTTAACCAGACCATTCGGTGTTGGGATTAATTGGTTTGTTATTCCTTTTTTACATATAATGGTCATGCCTTCTGAATTAGCTCTATGATTATATCTGCAAATATTCTAGCCTAAAATGTTGACCTTCTTTTCTTCCTCTAATTTGGTCTTTGAAGTGTTATAATATCTAGTTCGAGTGTGTTTCTGATATCCCACCTAAGTTCCATGACCCAATTCAAGATCACCCAAATAGTGTACTAGCAATACTAATCTAAACTATCCAGTGTGTTCATCAACAGGCATCATTCTTCAAACATGCTGGTGAAATTGGTCATCTGCATGCTGAAGTTTTGCATAAATGCAGCGGTTTTGGCGTTAATTGCGATGTTTGATGCAACATTTTGTTCTTGGACCCCTTTTGTTTCGTGTTTATAGCTCAGGTTTTGGTTTGCATGTGACCTTTGTATGTTCCTGATTCTTGTTGGTGGTGGTGCAGCAGGTTTTCTTTTGGGTGATCTGGAGCACCCACTCTGTAATTGGCGGTTCGTGTCTTGCCACAATTTGCACATTTTGGGTCGATACTACGGTCTTTTTTCCAATTGCTACTAAGATTTTTCACACCGCATTTCACTCATCTTGAGCCGAAATGACAAGCTATAGAGACGGGGTTAAAATCTTGGCAATGATAGCACTACATGATATCTTTTGTTTTTTTAATTCATCTTAGATGAAAATTCTCATGTAACATAAGAAAGTTTATGTCTTTTAGTTTTCCTTCATCTTCTTATTTTATAGTCACTAAATATAGAGATGGCTTTTTGTCTGGCTTTTTCGATATCATGTTTGCTACTGCTACTCCTTTCTCTTTTAGTTTTTAGGATCTGTTGTTTAGTATAGTACTCTGAGTACAAACCTTTTAGATTTCTACTGGTCGATAGAGTATACCATCTATTCAATTGGATCTGTTTCGCAGTATTTTTTTAGGATTTGATCATTGATTTTAATATTATTAATATTAAGCCGGTGGCTTTGATTTTGCTGTGTTTGGTTGTTGTTGTGCTTTCTGCTGTAGCTTTTTTTCTGTTGCTGTTTTTTTCTGCTGTCGATGCTTTTTCTACTTATCCGCTGCTTTTGCCTGTTTTAAAACTTGATTGTGGTGTTCTTGCCTCTGTTTCATTTCCTTTGACTTGCTTTCTTGTTTCTTTCTTGTATTATCTAAATTTGTTTTTCAGCAAAACTAATTGGTTTTGCATTATTTTTATTATTTGTTTTTCTTGATTTGTTAGTATATATCGTCCATTTTGTTAATTACTGTCCATTTAGATCGTGCGTATGCTGGGTGATTCTTTTTGTTTTTTTTTGCCATTTTTTGCACCGGCTTTTCTTCGTTAGAAATTTCCTCTGTCCTCAAAACCGTTTTTTCGCAGTTTTTCGAATTTCTTTGGCTGTTCTTTCTCTGAAGGAGTTAAATACAAGGAGGGGTTGTTACTTTCATAATATGATTCACTAACGTTTCCATTTCTTCATATTTTGCCTTTTTTTTCGTAGCTCAGTCATCTGGGCTAACAGGTCTTGGATTGGTTTGTTTGATTTTTCTTCGCTGAGTTTGCTTTTAGCCTTCGTGGATATAATTTGCTCAGTCAGTGCATTTACTGACCGGGTTATTCTTTTCCTTTTTACGCCATCTCTTTGGTCCTTTGAGTATCTTTTTTCTGCGAATCTGAGGATTCCTTTCTATTCCTTTTTCGTTTTTTCCTTTATCTGTTGGCTCTCTTATTTCTTAGCCCCCCTGTTCTACTTCCTCTTTTTTATTCCTTACTCTGCGTAGCTTCGGACTCACTGTCTTCTTCTTTGTTGTTGTCTTTTTCCTCTTCTGCAAACTCTCATTTTCTTCGTTGTTAGATTTATTATTGATTGTATTTTCGTTACCAATAAAACTATCTCTATTATCACCGTTTATCGAGTCAACAAAATGAAATGACTGGTTGTCATCATATTTTGCTTCTTGTGCTTCACCTGTGTGCCAGTCCTTTCATGAAGGGAAGGATTCACTGATGATGGCCTAGTTTGCCAGTAAACAACAGTGCTCAAGAACTTTTGGAGTTTGCTACAGAGACGACTCTGTTTATTTCCACCCTGTCAATCAATCGCATTTGTATGTTTTATATAATAAACCATAAATGTACATTATCGCTGTACGCTATAACGCTATACGTATCTTACAGCGTTTTTTGAAAACCATTGCCTTAGATAATATATTTAACAAATTCAAACTGTAAAAATTATACTTACAAGTAATAATAAAAGTAAAAAGTGATATGCTCATTTTGCCAAAGAATTTAGTTTTATAACTGACAAAAATAAAATTTATTTTTAGCTCTTTTAGTGTTTTATGTGCCATCCGAATCGGGGGAAAAAGTTACACTTGGTATAAGTGCCCTCTTATCCATGACTGTCTTCCTTATGACAATACGGGAGACACTTCCACCAACGGAAAAAACGCCTTTAATAAGTAAGTTTTTGACATAATAATAGAACAATTGAAAACTGTAAAAAACTTAATTATAAGATCGTGAACCATTTTTTTTAGCAAAGACAGGATTTCGTTGTATTCAATTTAGAATATGCTAGTAATTGACAATATCGTGAAATATCATGCCACAATATTGTTAATATTGTGAATATCTGTGTTACACAAGTTTCACTGTATCAATCGTACAATCTGCTCGTTGGATCGTTGCAGAAATATGACATTATTTACTAAATATTTTTATATGGTGCGTTTTTCTACTAACCCTATAAAAGAGAATACATATTAAATTCCCTTTTGAGTAATTAAATTGACGAAAATGCCACTGAATCCCTAAAAATCGTATACTTTGAGACCCCAAAAAGACGCAAAAAAGTTTACTATTTTACGACCGGTTTCTCCCTGAAACCCCCGTCGTAGGAAAACAAAACGAAAAAAAAAACGATTTACAAAAAATCTGTACTTAGAAAAAAATACAATAATTTTTATTAGCACTTTATCTATAGAATTAATTAACCATTCTCTTAGAAACAATTCTTGAAGCGACCAGTACCCCAAGCAAGACCTGCCATCTATAGGATAAATTATCGTAGAGCAAATTGGGATCTTTTCCAAGAACACGTCAATCAAAACCTTCCTGAGTTAGGCATCATGTCAACACATAACCAAGTTGACACAGGGATCTCCAAAGTTGAGAAACTTCTTCAAGAAGCCTCAGCCCTGGCTATTCCGAAAACAAGGTACAATCCATATACTCCAACACTTCCGCCGCAAATCATCGCGCAAATCAAAACTAAACGTAGATTACTCAGAGAGTATAAAAGATTCAGAGACCCCCTTATCAAAACAGAATACAATAGACTCTCGGCGGTCATAAGGCTCGAAGTGAACAAGCAGAAACAAAGACAGTGGATGCGAGTCACTTCGGACCTCGACTACCGGGACGGCTCTGCATTCTGGAACAAACTCAAAGTCCTAACAAGACAAAAAAGTCAGCCACGATCTCATCTCAAAATCAACAACGTCATACTAAACAATCCACAAGATAAGGCCGAAGCTTTCAAAAATACACTTCAGGCCACCCTCGTTTCACCCAATAATCCCAACTTTAGCGAAAGATCCAAAAGAGCCACCGAACATAGAGTGGAAGATATATTCTACTATCCTCAGCCACTTGACGGACCCATCCTCGTGATGGCGCCTGACGAGGAAACTGTCAGTCAGATGTGTAAAATAGGAAAAAACACGTCTCCTGGCTCAGATGGCATCCATAGAAGATGCCTCAAAAATCTTCCACAGAATATTATCCGTTGCTCACCAATATAATCAATGCATCTCTTGCGCTGAGCTACTTTCCTATTCCTTGGAAAGTGGCCAGCAATGTCATGGTCCCTAAAAAGGGAAAACCCTCACCAACCCTGAATCGTATAGACCAATTTCGTTACTGAGCACCCTAGGTAAAGTCTACGAGAGAATCCTCAAGGAGAGACTCGTAGAATTCCTAGACGCTCACTTCCTCATTCCAAATTACCAATTCGGATTCAGGGCTGGACACTCCACACAAAATGCATTGGTTGAAGCAACAACTTTCATTTCTCAATCCATTAACGAAAGCAAGCACGTCGTAGGCATATTCCTCGATGTCCAGAAGGCTTTCGATCAGGTCTGGCACGCAGGCTTGATCGAGAAACTCCACCTTGCTGGACTACCAACACCTTTCGTTAAACTAATAAATTCCTATCTCTCTCACCGGACGGTTCGGATCAAAATAGGAGAGCATCTCTCCACTCCATTCACTCCTCAAGCAGGAGTATGACAAGGCTCAATACTTGCTCCAATATTATACACAGTTTACAATAGCGACATCCCCCGCCCACAGCAAGGATCAGAGTCTCTTCTCCTATTCGCTGATGATACAGCCATTCTTACCTCAGGTTCCTACAGGGAAGGAGAGCGACGGTCTGTATTCGAGAAATCGCAAGATTATCTTGATAGAGTCGTGAGGTGGTGCAACAAATGGAGGGTTACTTTAAACCCCTCCAAAACACAAGCAATTTTATTTAGACCCCCGTACGGACGCGGCCTTCAGGGCCGGGTGACACTTTTGGGAGAGGACCTTATTCTCAGGAACTCAGTTCTCTACTTGGGAGTTCGTTTTACGAGAACTCTCAATTGGAAGGCTGACGTCCAAGATTCCCTTGACAGGATGAGAAAAAGGCTCAACCTCCTGAAAGTGTTGGCCGGTAAACTAGGAGGAACGTCCTCTAACACATTGTTGCACACCTACAAGACTTTCATCAGACCGATAATCGAATACAAGGCATGCGTTTACCTCTCCCTGAGGAACCACGAACTCAATGCCATCACCGCCACAGAGCGTAGAATACTACGCTTCTGCATGAGAAAAGATTGGCTGTATCCATCAGCCCACATATATGCAATAACCAACATCACGCCTATCAAGGACAGAATCCTAACCCTCAGTAGGAAGTATGTCTTAAGAACCATAGCTGGCTCGAACAACCGAGCAAAACAAACATTGGAGACACCTGGTTCACATAGAGGGCAAATACTCACCAGGCATCCCGCCAAAAAAGTTCCATTCCCTCCAGCTAAACTTCTACATAACGCTGGACCTGAACTTCCTGAGGAGTATTTTGATATTTTAGAATCTTTCCCCATCTATTATCGCAGATAAACTGCGCACCAAAAACGCTGATAAAGAGCCGTTCCTACTGTATGGCTGGTAACCCTGAAGTACCTCACACTGCATGCTAGGCAAACCCACTTCTTCTTGTGCGTTCACGATTCTTATCGATCACAAAATAAGCCACCTTCTTTTCCCCTTCTTTCCTTAGCAGTTCTCTGCTTCTTAGGCCGCGTTTCGTTCAGTTGACGTTTTTCTCGTAGCCCCTACAACTCCGTCAAAAAAAAGGAGTTCCCCGTTTCTTGAAGAGGCGTAAGCCTAAACAAGGTTAAAACTCGAGGTTAGTTGTTAGTTAGAAGCGACCAGTGATTTAGAATATCAAGTATGAGCGCGAAATCAATTTTAAATAAAAATTTTATCAAAATTCGATATCTTTTGATCAGAGGGTCCTATTAACCATAATACTATAACAAAACATGTTTGTCATAGTAGCATGCCTATTAACATAAATCAAAATGTGTTTTTATAGGTGAAGAGAGCAGAATTTGTAAAATAATTTTCATTTTTCCGCAAATCAAGTCAGTTCTATAAGGGTATTAAATAAATAAACCTTTAGAGATTTTTAATTCTGATGGGATAATTTTTCTTGAGGAATTGGGAAAAACACTGGTGAAACCACTTATCCTTTCCAGGAAAAATTTACCAAGTACCTACTAAAGACTTACAAGAACTGGTAAAAAGATCACGAAGAGAAAAGAGTAGAGAAGATGGAAATTCTAGTGAACCGTCTATGGACAACCCAACTCCCCCTGCTAAACGAGTACGCTGTGTAAAGTTTGCTCTAAAAACGATAACAAGACTAATATTTTGTGTTGTATATGTCACAAATATATTTGTAAAATCCATTCTTTTATTACTGTCCCAGTTGTAAACTAAATTAAATTTTATACAGTGTGTAAAAGCCAAATGGAATAAATTCATTATTTAGGTTACTGTACATATTTATAAAAAATCCCGAAACACGTCAAATTTAAACTATAACTTGACATTCTTTAACGTGAAAATGCAACGCCTACCTTCAACCCCCTTAGAATGACAGGTACAACCCCCAATTTTTAAAATAGGAAGTATAGGCTTGTTATATATCGTTTGAATGGTCTTTTCATTCTCCATTCAAAAATGTTATAAATCATCTCCGTTAAAACAATAAAATAAATCAAAATCATGTTGTTACCGAAATTCGCTAAAATATACTCAAAACTTATTTCCCGTTTAGGTCTTGATAATGAGAAAGTGAACAAATACCGTAGTAATGTGGTTTTTAGATGGTAACCATTAAAAAACTTTAAAGACTTTCCGTGGCAACGTTATTTTAACACGCATTAGTAAATTGTTTTATTTAAGTTGTCAGTATTTTAATTTAAGTAAAAAGTTCGTTCAATTAAATTCTGAAAAATGGTTAGATTAACGGAAATGCATAAAATAACAGTTTTACAAATGATTGGTTACGGAGATAACACCCGAACACAACAGGAAGTAACTCGCCTATTTCATGAGAAATTGCCTAATTTACCGCCTATATCCCAAGGAACAATAAGTAAAATAGAGAAGCAGTTTCGCGAGTTTGGTCATGTAAGGCAGATAAAAAAGCAGCTGCCAATGCACTGAGTGATGATCTCAAATTAGATGTGCTGCTTGAATTTCAGGAAAATCCACATACATCGAGTAGACAGGCATCCACTACATTCAATGCTAGCCATACATCGATAGTAAACATATTAAAAGAAAATGAATTGCATTCCTATAAGATGATAACTCAGGAGCTCATAGAAGGCGATTTTGATAGGAGAACTTTTTTTTGTGAGCAAATGATGAACATGTTGGATAACAATATTTTCCAATTAGAAGACGTTATGTGTTCTGATAAGTGTACTTTTTCACTTAACGGTCGTGCTAATCGGCAAAATTGCCACACTGGACCACGGAAAATCCTCACTGGATGAGAGAAGAACACACTCAGTACCCTCAAAAGGTTAATGTTTGGGCAGGGATTGTAGGTAACAATATCATTGGTCCCTTTTTCATTGAGGGCAACTTGAATGGCAACAATTATTTGGCACTACTTTAAAATGATGTCATTCCAACATTGGCAAATTTATATCCTGATCCAGGAATCCCTCAAGTTCCAGCGAATACGATATGGTTTCAGCAGGTTGGAGCACCACCACATTACCAACTTAATGTCCGACAGTACCTTGATACAATATTTTCCAATCGGTGGATAGGGAGGCAAGGATCGATTGAATGGCCAGCGCGATCACCTGATCTTACATTA